TAAGAGGGGTCTTCTTATCCTCCTTTTTCAAATAAAGATTAAAATGTAAATATTAGTTTGTGTTGTGAGTGACAAAATGTTTTTATACTAATTAAATAATACATTGTTATATAAAATCATTTTTTAAGGTTAAAAATTTTTTTAAAACACACAAAACACAATCATCATCTTGTGTGATAAAATGAGGCAGAGTAAATTTTTTTAATTATGAGCAACCTGTGGGGTCCCTGTCTCACCTTAGAAAGCCATTTTGCCATTTATGGTGTAAAGGACGGTTATAGTTTGTTTCTGAATTTGAGGAATTTAGAAAATTTTAATACCAGAGGTTGATCTAGATGAAAGTGGAAATAAATTAAAAAGTAAAAAAGCAGGTTCAATCAGGATAAACCCTGAATTATAGCTTAAGTGTAACTCTTCTTTAAAAAAGAAGATTTTGTTCAGAAAAAAAAATAACTATGTATATTTAATAATGAACCTTTACAAATGCATTAACACTCAAATCTGCATGAATTTGTTTCATAATTCAGTGAAGTCAACTTCCTGTAACTACAATTCAACTCCCTGCAGGGTGTGGCCAATTCAATTCAAATTTACTCCATAAACTGAAAGAGAAACAGACACAACCCTGATATAATTGAATCCTCTTTTATAGTTATAAAAGTAAAATTATGAAAGCATAATTAAAACATGTACATTTTGAATTTACATTTAAAGTGATGATGAAAAATTCTTAAAAAATAATATATTCTGTGAATATATATATTGTGAATATATATATTGTGAATAATATTTAAAAGAACCGTAATGGAAATAAAAAAGTGAAAAAAAAGAACTTAAAGATTAATCTTCAAAGAACAGCACAGAACTGCTCTCCTAAAAATGCTCTACATTGGCCTTGTGGCTTCAAAGAAGAACCTTAACACCTATAGAAATGTGTAATTCCATATAAAGTTCTTTATTTAAAATAGCAATAAAATGTCCTCAAACTAAAAAAAATGGTTTTGTGAAAGCCAAAATATTTCTTTTAAGGCATCAGTGTAAATAAAACTTCTGGAACTTTTATTTTTAAAAGTGGAGAACACACAAACACACTGGAACTGAACAATTTGAACAGATTTAACACTCCTGAACTGTTCTATGTAATTTAACAATCTATGTGACTATAACATTGACATCTTTTACTATTTTAATGTGTACAGCCCTGTTGTCTTGAGGTTTATAGGCAATACATAGCCACTGCCGTCCAGGTGTAAATCGCTAGCAATCATTAACATATTATAAAAAATGACAACATTTACAACTGTCATAAAAACTAGGTGTGCCCAGACTAGTTACACATTATTCATTCAGCAAGAGCATCCCCTTTTCACTGATGTTATAATACTTTATTTATTTCGAAATAAAAAAAACTGGTAAAACTGATTTTAAAGGATCATTAATCAATCGTTTTAGCTTTTGATAAATCAACCTGTTTTCTTTGTTTTAACATATTTTTTTAATAATTTGTGGGGAAAGAATTTGCAGGAAAAACTACATCGCCTATGATCAACATTTCACCATCTTCTTTTAATGAAAAACTAAATTAAAAAAGATTATATATATATATAAAAGAACTTTTCATATTATTTATTTTATTTGATTTGTGTTCACATTATGTTTTAATTTTATGTTATTGTACTTAATTATATATAGATATATGGGCTGCACAGTGGCTCAGTGGTTAACACTGTCGATTCACAGCAAGAAGGTCACTGGTTTGAGTGCCAGCTGAGCCAGTTGGCATTTCTGTGTGGAGTTTGCATATTCTTTCCGTGTTTGCATGACTTTCCTCTGGGTGCTTTGGATGATCTAAATTGGCCATAGCGTATGAGTGTATGTCAGAGTGTATGGGTGTTTCCCAATAATGGGTTGCGACTGGAATGACATTCGTTGCGTAAAACATATGCTGGAATAGTTGGCGATTCATTCCGCTGTGGCGACCACTGATAAATAAGAGCCTATATATATTTATTTATTTATTTATAGGTAAATAAGAATAGCCTAATTGAAAGTACTTCTGGATTTAACAACACTGAAAAAGAAGCCAGGCACTAATGAACTGTAGCCTACACATGAGAATTTTTAAAATATCGATTGCTGGACAGAATGTTGGACATTAACGAAATGCAATTCATTCTACCTTTTCCCTCCAAAATAGAGGCCTGCACTCTCAAACAAGATGAAGGGACAGGAAACGACGTTGTGGTTTATATGTATTATGATGCAGATAAAGACAGCTGTTATCCTTTTCGATACAATGGCGAGGGTGGCAATTCAAACCGTTTCATAACTGAGAAGCAGTGCATGAGAAACTGTTCACACCGAGCTGATCAGCTGTTCCCTATGGATGGTAATTTTCTATGAACAAATGTGTCTACAATACTGTGCCAATTGTTTTCTCTCTCTCTCTCTCTCTCTCTCTCTCTCTCTCTCTCTTCATTTTGATGCAGATTGTTTCATTTTCTCATTAATTTATGGATCAACAATGCTTTAAATACATGATTTATTAACTTAAGAAAATGCTGCCACCCTGTGGTAAAAAAACAACTTTTTCCCCGCATGTCACCTTCTTCTTCTTTTTTTTTTTTTTTTTTTTTTACAGGAAAACAGATTTGCGTGCTTCCCAGAGAGCCAGGACAATGTTTCGGTCACTATCTTCGGTATTACTACAGCCCCGAGCATCACACATGCAAGCCGTTCTATTGGACTGGTTGTGTGGGCAATGGAAACCGATTCCTATCACTTAATCGTTGCAATGCCACTTGTTACAACTCAGCAGGTACAAAATTAATATTACAATAGTTATTTAACCTTAAGATGAATATGACAAAAATGTATATTTGTTTGAATAGATAAAGGCCATGAGGACCATTCAGGTGAATCTGATGTACCTGTTGGTAAGTGAAACTTGAAAATGATCTTTTTCATTCACATTATTAATGAAATGATGCTGACTTATAATTATCCCAATAGGAATTATCCTGGGTGTAGTGTTCGGTCTAATTGGTGCCATTATTCTCATTGTGGTGATCGTCTTTGCTGTCAAGAAGTATGTCATTTTATTTATGTTTGTGTTAATTTTCATTTGAAATGTTTATACTTCAGTTAGACAACATACCATTTCAAACAATTCTTTCAATTTTACAGGCCTAGCTCAAAGAAACGTGAGAAAAAAGATGGAAAGTCAACAGAGCAACCACTAAGGGAGCAGGCAGTTGAGATGGAAGGAGGGGAAGCACAGCCAGCCACTCTTGAAATCTCTACAATCCAAACTTAAAAATCGTTGAACTCACATTTGTACATTGAACACTCAGGCCGATCATTGTTTACTTTTGTAGAAGAGGTTAATTTGACAAATAAAAAAAAGTACAAAATATGTGTGTTGCTTATTTGCTTTATTCTTTTTTCCACTATATATTTTTTTATCTTTCTAATTTACGTTGTAATATATGTCTGCCATATTAAAATACACAATGCATAAAAAATGTCTGTAAGGTATTAAATTGTTTGAATTATAAAACTGCACATTGTTTGCTTGTGTTTGAAAAGTTAAAAAGCACAGTGGCCTCCATAAACTTTATTTATCCAATTCACCAATACCGCATGTCTTTGCACTGTGGGGTAAACAAAGAACATGGAGCAAACCCACACAAACACAGAGAACATGCAGACTCCACACAAAAAGTCCTCCTGGTCCAGTCAGGACTCAAACAAGCAACCTTATTGCGGTGAGGTGTCAGGGCTAATCACTGAGCCACTTAACATATTCATAACCAGTATTGCAAAATTCCCAGAGAAAACAGATTCCTTGTTCTATTTATAATGAAGTCTAACCTTGTAGATTCAAGCTGTTGAGACACTTTGAGATAAGAACAAACTTGAAACCGTATTTAAAGACAGGATATGCAGTCTAGGAATTCAGAACAAAAAATATATATTTTACTGGCATATAATATTCCATTAAAAAAGACTTGTTATAATTAAAATTCAACACAGGTCAAATAGTTTTGTTATAGCGGTATGGGTGACATAGGTTGTGTTGTCGCCTTACAGCAAGAAGGTTGCTGGTTTGAGCCTCAGCTGAGTCAGTTGGCATTTTTGTATGGAGTTTGCATATTCTCACTGCGTTCGCGTGGGTTTTCTCGAGTGCATTGGTTTCCCCCGCAGTTCAAAGACATGCACTATAGGTGAATTGGGTAAGCTAAAATCGTTCGTATGTGTTTGAATGAGAGTGTATAATGTTTCCCAATATGAGTTGCAGCTGGAAGGACATCCGCTGCATAAAACATTTGCAGAATAAGTTGGCGGTTCATTCCGCTGTGGCAACCCCAGCAGGTTAAAGGACTAAGCCAAAAAAGAAAATTATTGAATAGGCTAAGTACATAATTAAAATACCAAGTAAATAAGAAAAAAAAAATACACGTGAAATGAAAACAAAACAATTGAACATTTAGCAAATATTTTATATTAGATTGTTTGCCATATTTTTACATAAAAAGCTCACACATTTTTAGATATTTTGCAATATTAGTAGAACAGAAGGTGATATAATAATTATTGCTTTCTCTATCCATTAAAAAATCTGATGGCAATATACAAGTTACACATATGCTAAAACAAAATCTACACGTTTGAGTTTGGATTTCACATATAAACATATGGTATATAGCCAATGTACAAAATCAAAATATTGGAAAATAGCCATATTTCCCCCCAAATATTAGAATATGTATCATTATGCAGCAACTTCCCTTAAGCCTAAAAATATTTAATTATTTGTGGAGCAGAAAACGTGTTTCGTTTTACTAGAACGCAACATATGTCTTTTCTCGCCCCAAGGGCATCTTTCTTGCGCTCTCTCTGCTTTTTAGAGCTGAACACAGTAGGTGGCGATAATATCCCTTAAACGTTGGTCCTTCCCGCCGTAAAACCGAAGAAGAAGTTCTCTTTTTAGACAGCATTTTTGATGTATAGTTAGGGAACTTGGTAGGTTTTGAAACAGCCTGAGTCTGTGCGTGCATGTCTGCTATTTTAACCCATAACAACACTGTTTCATTTAACAGACCAGCAATATAGCTCACACATTTAAACGTAAAAGTAATCACCCATTTGAAAACGTATTTTGTGCCTCTCAACTTGCATTTTAAAAATTTAATAATTACAGTAATCATTTAAACGTAGACTTAGCTAGTGTAGCTAGCTCACAGATTCATGGAGTGTCCTCACCTCAACTCCAGTGTCTGCATGACAGTGGATCTCACCCGGTTCCCCAACGGTTCCCCTTCTTCATGGTGCTGTTCCGGTGAGTTAAATACACATGGTAATGGTGGCTATCTCTTATAATCAGCATTTCAGTCAGTTTCCTGTAACGTTACGCTCGTTAGCCGAAGTGGCTAATTCTTCATTGCTCACAGCAGATCGCGCAGTGAGACTACACATTGGTGCTAATAAAACTAATAATTTTAAGAAGACATCATCGTATACGTATATTAAACACGTAATGTAATTGTGTTAAATTTTACAATGAAAGTAACTGCATTTAATTATAACCCAATTCAAGTAACGTTAGCTTAACACAACATTCAAACTTGCTCAGTTCAGTCTGACACCACTGTTGTTCTTTGAACATATTTTACATTTTGTTTGTTTTTTCAAGGACATAAAACTGATGTCACATTTACTGTATCGCTTGTTTAGCTGATGGCTTTTCATAGACCGAAAATTTGTAACACTTGCATGTAGATTGTTGAAAATGTTGATTTTACAGGAAGTTATTAATATTACTTTTATGTGCAGCACTGTTCAAAATATAAAGCGGTTTATGTAGTGTTATTTACATAGACCGGAAATAAATGCAAACATTTTCGCAACTTAGTCTAGTGGTAAGCTGGTTTCAATGAATTCACTAGCTATTGCAAATTGTAATTATTGGCTTAGTATATTACAGGCCTTGCGGGAAAATGTTTCTGAGAACAAATAAGAAAGACATTAATGGTTGAAAATAACTTTATAGTTATCCATTAGGTCTCAGAGAAGTAAACCTATAAAGTGGAGCATAGTGTCTGTCTGATCAGCTGTTTTCTCATCAGCAGGTTTTTCATATAAAACAAGGCTTAGGCAAGAAGTAGAGGGGAAATGTCAGGGGCACTATTACCTATTTAGACAACTGAAATGTATAAATATACATATATATATAGGGCTTGATTAGGTCAAGAAGACCATGATTGTTCCCCTCTGTACTATAACTTTTAGGTGTGTATGTAAAATGAAAGGATGTCTGGTAATTGTTTTATATCATGGCTAATATTATAAATACATAGTTATTTAGTGATGTACAGGGGATTGGGGTCAGTATTTTTCTCTTTTACTCTAGTAAAAATTGACAAAACATGCACATAGCACTAAAGGAGATATTTAATAAAAAGATCAAAAATAGCATTTTCAAATAAATGGTTTTCCTATCAGTTTTTCAACTTAATTTGGCTTTGCTGAAGCTATTTTTTTTACACACACACACACATATATATAAGCCATCTTACTCTGCAGATTGTAGGCAAGACAAGTTATAGACTCAAGATGAATTGTCATATGAGATTACATTAAAAACATATGAACATTTAGGGTGTGACTGCCAGTAGCCCTTCACACACCCAGAGGACCTAAAAATGCTCCATATCTTGTTTAACACATTTTACACTTATGAAACATACAGAGACCTTCTCGTATTTACAATGGGTTATATACACAGTAAGTGTTTTTCAGCCATAGATAAACTTAAGTGAAAGGTTAATGTGACTAATTTTAATTTCAAATTGCTCCTTTTATAGCATTGATAATGTAATTAATTTAAATTTAGTCAGTTAAATAGACTTTAGGATTTAAGACATGTTGTGGAACAATGAAATTTAATGCAGTGCTTACTTTGTGTCAGCCACTTTATATTGTATCTCAATCAGGCAGTGAAGGTAATTTATTTTATTAAGAAACCAGATCTTAAATGTGGTGATTTTATAATGGGAGACTAGGAAGCGTTTGAGCTGGATTACTGAATATTTAAATGTCCTGTACATATACCCAATAATTAGTAACTTTTAAATATTCACTAAAAATTAAAATAATGAAATAAAACAGAACTAGGAACTACTTCAAACAAACAAATAACAAATATATAAATTGAAATTACTGCAATTTTGCTGCACTTTCATGGCAAATTCTTAAAGTACTGTTCACACCTACATTGATTTTGTTTTCTGTTTTTAGTAATACTGCAGTTTTGTTAGTATGTCACTTCTTTTGTGTAAAGTACATTATAACTCCCATTACAGTAGCAAAGACTTATTTTTTTCCTATTATTTTTTTCAATCATTGCACAGGCAGTTAGTAGGTACAAGGAGACAGACTAGGTCTGTTGACTTTTTCCACATTTGTTGGATCATGGACAGACTAGCATTCATGAGAATCGAGTGTTTCTTAGCAACGGCTAATTCAGATGCTTGATGTGCGCTCAGAGGGAAGGTGATCAAGGCATTAGAACAAAGCTCTTTTTCCCAGCAGACGACAGCCAGAAATTACATTCAGATGAAGTTAACATGTCACCTTATATGTTCACTATGCGAAAGTGTTTATTATGTTTTTTTTCTTCTTTGATATATGGGTTTGGTTTTATGCATCTGTAAAATTATAATTATATAATGAATGTAACTTCAATATGTATTGATGTTTTGTAGTTTGCCGGTCAAACAAAAGCCCTTGGGTTTGCCTGACGTGTATGAACGTGCATTGTGGACGGTGAGTACTTAAATGTATAGATTATTTTTTCAACTTAGTCCTTTTATTAATCAAGGGTCTCCACAGTAGAATGAACTGCCAACTTATCCAGCATATGTTTTGCGCTGCGTATACTCTTCCAGCTGCAACCTATGACTGGGAAACCCATACACACTTATTCTCACACAAACACCATGGCCAGATTAAGCTTTCCTAATTTACCTATAATTCACCTTTCCTAATTCACTTATAATTTATTTAAAAAAAAATATTCTGTCATAATTTCTTCACTCTCAACCTCTTTGGGCTTCTTTCTTCTGCTAGACCAAAAAACTATTTAAAATTATATATATATATATATATATATATATATATATATATATATATATATATATATATATATATATATATATATATATATATATATTTAGTACACACAGTAACATAGATTTGGGGTTTAATATTGTGAAAATTTATATTTAATTGGTATTATTAATGTATTACAGAATATACAAACATATTTATAACATGTTGAAGTACAATTCTACTGAAATAAATAACATTTAATCATTAAAATATACACACATAAGCATTTAATCTCTTTTCTTTTGTAGGTATGTTAATGGCCATGCCAAAAAGCATTTTGAAGAGATTGAAGCTCCAGGTTGCAGCCAAAGGAAGCCAGACAGAGAAAAGTTGAGGGAGAAGGGTCAACAGCACTCTGTGTGTATGGACTGTAACAGTTATAGCACATTCTGGTAGGTTTCTTGCCCTATTATTCATTCATCATTCATTTATTCATTCATATATTCATTCATTCATTCATATTTGTCAATGGACTTTAAAATTTAATATTGTTCAGTAAGCAGTGTTATATGTTAAAAAAAAACTATTTTTGAGTTTCTTACCTATTTCCTGCAGTTATAAATGCGACGAATTTGTGGTGAATGACACAAAACTTGGGCATGTGCAGAGGGTCAGAGAACATCTACAGAGTTTGGAGAAGTAAGACTGTAGTTTATAATGTATCTGTTTATCAATCAAACATCATAAAACTTTATTGACATTGTTGTGTTTAAATGGTTTATTCTTTGTCCAGCTCTGTGTGTAATACCGACAGACAGAGAAAGAGAAAAATGTCTGAAAGTTTTTCTCCTGACAGCAAGATGAAGCAAGACAGTGTAAGTTTAATTTGTTTCTATGCATCTTTGCAAAAATGTGCCAAGAAATAGCTTAGAAAAAATATTATGCACCCACCTACACATGCACATCTTTTGAAAAAGTTAGGACACCTTATTTAACTTGGTGGGTTTTTATCAGGAGAAAATAAACGAAATAAAAGTTTAAATGTCATTTTTTACTTAAAAATAAAGCCAAAATTTAAAAAAAGTGATGAGTGATGAGCTTAGGACACTCTTAAAATAGGGATTAAGAATGTAAGTAGCAGTCAAGCACAGCTAGTCAAATGCCATTTAATAAGCTGATCATCAGCAAGTGTGTGCCCCTCTAAAAGCAGGCGTTTTGGCAATTTGTTGGTCTGGAGCCTTCAAGTTTGTGTTAAGACACTGCAATTATCAAGCAACAGTTGCTGCCATCAATCAGAAGTCCATCATCCCACAGTTAGTTGAAGACTTATGAAGTGGACATTCTATCAATTTTACTCCAAGATCCACAAGAGAAGTGGCAGGAAAATCAAGCCTAACCCTAACCCTAACTTCATCATGGATTCTACAGGCCTCATTTAACATGTGAAAGAATAATGTTCATGACCGTAGTACAATTGGAAAAAGATCGGACAGGTATGGCACGTTTGGAAGGGTTGCCAGAGGAAAACATCTCTTCTCTAAAACAACATGACAGTACATTTTGAAAGCTAAACTAAAGAACCATAGGGGGAAAAAAGCCTAGAAAAATGTCTAGGTGTTGCAATAGTCGAGTAACAGTTCAGACAAAATCCTAAAAGCCATGGTATTCTTCAATAGGTTGTCTAAACTTTTTCTCACAACTGTGTCAGAAGTTGTCATAAGCTACTGAAAATTTAGTTGTACTGTTTCAAAATTTTCAAATATTTTTTCCTTATAAAATTAATTCATTCGTGAAGGATATTTTGATGAAAATGGCAGTTTATTGACCGAGAAAACAGTTATTTTTAAATATAATTTTTTCCACAACATTACTGCCTATACTGTAATATTCTTTAATTATATGTTATCATTATAAGGTAAATAATCAGTGAATAAATAAAATGTTTATAATTGATTTTTCCTTTTTATTTTTAAATGTAAACACACAGGAGGGCGCTCTAGTGCAATGTGCCACAGGCCTTCGCAATCTGGGCAACACCTGCTTTATGAATGCCATTCTCCAGTCTCTGAGGTAAGAACAGCCTTTATGACCCTGAGCAAGGGGCAGTTGATTATGCGTAGCTTGGCGGGGTATGGGTAGCCCAGCCAGTCGTGCTTAAATGCCTCCCCTGAACCTATGTTGGTGCCTTTAGTGTGATTTGGCAGACAGCGATGCCTCTGTGGCCTGTCAGCTGGCTGAAGTAGAACTTAGTGGGCAGCAAAGGGATGGATTAGGCAATCTGCCTGCTCATAGCAGCTTTAAACTGGCCAGGCTGGTGAAACTAAATAGCCCTTGTCAAACCGATTAATGGGATCAGTTAAATGATAAAAAAATATCTATTTACATATATATATATATATATATATATATATATATATATATATATATATATATATATATATATATATATATATTGTTGTTATTAATTATTTATTTATTTATTTTTAGTTTTATAAATTTTTAATTGGCTGCATAAATGTGCTATGCATATTAGTTGACTCGCGGGACAGTAACATGTGCAACCACATGTGCCTACAGACATATTTTGCCAAAAAAGCAAAATGAAAGAAGGATATTGCTGGTCACAGTATAACACAATCGAGTTGATGCCAAACTAGCGCTGATGCTGATTGCCTGGATCTGTGTCATAATGTCAAGTATAATTTTTTGCACAATTGGAGAAAGAAGCTGTCAGCAACCCTCTATTTTGGACACAAGCAGGCCACAAGTCAGAGCGTCTGGGTTTTCTCTCCGTCAGAGTGCGCTCTGGTTGTGTTCTCAAAAACACAACAAATAAGCTAAAGTTGTAATTATTTAGCGTGCAACTAACAAACCAACCTTTTTTATTTGTAATATAACAGTTATTAATAGTTCTTATAAAATATCAATTTTTAAAATAGCCTACATAATCTACAAATCAAACAAATCTAAAGATTTTTTAGATTTTTGCATAATGATAACTACAAACTGAGGCTTTCATTTTATAGCTTATAAAACATCTATGCAAATTAATGCAATATCATATGTAAACAACAAAATTGTTACATAGAATAGTAGCCTATTCTAAAAAGTCAACGTATGTGCCTTATCATTGTTTTTCATCACACGCAGCGTGTGCACATGAACTGCAAGTGAGAAAGGAAATAAAAGCACACAAGCTCTAAGGTAAAACCATACATTTAAGACATAATCTTTAAAATAATGACTTATATAAAAAATGTTGACAGAGTTTTATGATATTAGAATAAGAGCGAAGAATTAATTAAATGCATATTTTCTGTGAAGCGATCAATTTGAGTATAGCCTGCTAATTTTTTTTGACAGAAGAAAAAAAAACATGATAGGGAAAAAACAGCCTTTGTTGGTTCTTAAAATGTATTCAGTTTTGTTTTGTAATTTAAATTTGTCATTTAAGTGAAAAATATCTAGGGAAGGACCATTTATTTTATTCTTTTATTTAGTTTACAACCGGTGGTTGTTGGTTGGCAAAATTAACCAAGATGAGCATCCCTACTTACCAAATATCATATAAACCACTAAACTAGCATTTTTTGACTATTTAGAGGGAGCATTTTGTTTACTGAAGTTACACTTCAAACATTTGCAGTCAGTAAGATTTTTTAAAAGGTAAAATATATATATTTGCAGCAAGGATATGCTTATGTATGACTTTACATTTAGTTAAAACAAATGCTGTTTTTAATCATTCAATTTGTCAAAGTATCCTTAAACATATTAATCATTACAGCTGGTTTCTACATTCATGATAATAATCTGAACTGTTGCTTAAGCACCAATTACAGGAGAAATTAGTTAAAATAGAACACTTATTTTAAGTTCCAATAACATTTTACTATTACTGTTTTTTTTTAATAAAGAGACAAATATATGTAAGAGTTTAACAAGACATTAGAAAGTGACCATATATTCTTGTTCTCAGGATTAAATGGCATTATTTTGGCAGCTGTTCAGTACATAGTTTTAGAAATTAAATTCATGTAGAATTATGTGCACATGTCATATTGATGCCAACTCAAATCAGGATGATTGTCACTAAAATGCAATTATTACATAAAAATATTATGTGTCATGTTTTCTTATATTCTAAACAATTCTGAAGTCATACAACATTTGTTTTGAGAAACAAACTGTAATTTAAACAAATTGAGTGCTGCTTGAAAATCTACAATGTAGTTTATATTTAACATTCAATTTCACCAATTATGTAATTTAAATTGCTTTTAATCAGATTTATTGTTGAGCTGTCAATGATTTCAAAGCTTGCATAATGGAAACTAAATCTAACTCGAAAAAAAACATTTACATTTAAACTCGTTTGCTGGGCATAATTCTTATAAGAGGACTGCATTGACAGAGTTCTGTATTATTTTGGTAAATTGTCAGAGTTACAATGATGTTTGAAAAGACACGCCGAAATTTATGTGAAAGACATCTGTTAAGTTAAAGCCTGTTTTTTGTTTGTTTGTTTGATTGTTTGTTTGTTTCCTGTCTCCAGTAATATCCAAGTTTTCAGCTGTTATTTCAAGGAGTTGCCTTCAGTGGCCTTACGAAGTGGGAAAACGGCAGGAAGGAGAATGTACCACACCAGAAGTCAGGGGGACAGCAGTGTGTAAGGTCCTCTCCATTAAATGGCAAACAGAAGGGAGGGGGTTGTTTAAGGAAATTAAAATATTTTGGCATGTATTTCTGTTTAAACACATTTATATGTAAGTTTTACTTTCATATAAAATTGGTACATTAGCTCGTGTTGATCTAGCAACAATTCCTAACATGATGAAGGCTTAAATGTTATGATTTTAGTTTAACATTGATAACCACTTGTTATACAGTATAATCCTCTATAACCTCACAGATATATTAGAGTCCATATGGTGTCTATTACAATGGCTATATTTATCTGCCCTGTTGTGCAGATCTCTGGTTGAAGAGTTCAGAAAAACCCTGTGTTCGCTTTGGCAAGGAAGTCAGACTGCCTTCAGCCCAGATGCTCTCTTTTATGTCATCTGGAAAATAATGCCAAGTTTCAGGTACCATAAAATCACACAGCTGCACAAGTTGTTGCATATTTTCCTTTGGATTTGTCAAACTCTTCTTTTAAGGAATATTCTAGGTTTCATATTATTTTGTGTATCACTAAAGTTGTGTAATTTTAAATAGTAAATGATTCGTTTAGATTTTTTTGTTTTTAATTCATAAAATAATCTTGAAAATTCTTGATTTTGTAATCTTGTTGTAGTTAAAATGCCAAAACTGTGCACTTGAATATATGGAAAGCAGAGGTGTAACCGAGCGCGGTTGATCCATGATTCGTATGGATCACAACCCACGGTTCGGAACACACTGACCACAGTGGATTAATACATTTTCTTACATGTAAATTAATCCTAAATTTGTAATTATCGCAGAGAGATCGCCTGTCGCCTCATTCTAATAACTTTTATGAAACTATTTGGCCTTTCCTGTAAAATATAATTATGATGGAAGAAGTTGTGGTGGGTTATTTAGAATGTGGTGGGTTATTAGTTTATTGAAGGTGTTTTCTGTTACTACTTGTTTAGCCTGCATCAATGCATTCAGTGTGTACACTGCTCAATTAATCATTAAAATATCGGGATCTCAACACCCACGCAACATAAATTAGAAATAATGGTGATTTGCATTTGTTTATTAATTTTAAGAGATTGAGTTTTTAGTCTTTTGAGTTAATTATGAAGTTACAAATGGTCAAATAACACAGAAGTACTGGGATAACAGTTTATAGTTTAAATAAAACCACTGATATTTATGGTAAAGATAAATTCACCGTCATATGCATTTAACTTGATGCTCAAAAATGAAAGTTGTATGCAGCAATTACATTATTTAACCAAAAGGTGGCGGCCAAAATATGACACTGAATAACTCTTCAAAAGTTATCATCTAGCAATGAAACATGAAGTTTTATAAGTGAATAACTGAATCATTTATTGAAAATGAGACTAAAAATAAATATGGGTTGTACAAATTATGATGTTAGGTTTCTACATGTAGCGTTATCAACAAAAGCAGTAGTAACAGTGAATTTTTCACAGTACTGAATATTTTACAATTTATTGCTACAAATTTTTGCTCTGTTTGCTGTAAAAACTGTAACTCTTTTAATTTAAATGTTTACATTTTACTGCCATAATTATGTATATTATTTGCAATAATATTTCTGAGTAACCCACTGTAATTATCCTATATAGAAGTTCTGGATTGTATCAGTTTGGTGCCAGACTAAATTTTATTTTTATTTTTTTACTAAATCTACATAGCTTTGTCACTTTTAGGTAGCATTGACAAATACTATCTCTGGCCTTGTGATGTCATCATTTGAATATCATTTGTATATTTCAAAACAATAAAAAATAGATATATACTATGTTCTTGTCAATAAACATAATACTAAGTATGTCTTGAAGAAAGCAAATAGGATTGATTTTTGAATTTTTATTGTTATTATTATTGCAGGGGCTACCAACAACAGGATGCACATGAGTTCTTGCGTTACCTGCTGGACCATCTCCACCGAGAGATGCAGGGAAACAAGAATGGGTCACCCAGTCCTCCTGTGACCTCCGATGAACCCAATCATGCCTCCGAGAGCAAATGCTTCATGTACGAGACCCCTCTGAACACGCATGTATTCTTTCTACTCGCATTCACCTTAGCATGGACAAGTGAGACCCCACTCAGTGCAAAACATTTTTAATTGCACTGTCCCACTTTTGATAACTGCTGAAGGTTTATTCTTTTATTAAATAGACCTAAAGTGACATTCAGCAAAGTTTTACCAGGAAAAGTTATTATATATTAAACTTAAGTTTTTTTTTATTTGTTTGTTGTTTCTCATTGTATTTGCTTTAATGAACTGATCTTGCCATAAAAGTAGCCTTTGTACATGATGTGGTATTAAGTTAAAATTGATATGTGATATGAAGTTATCTAAAATTCAGTCTTATTCCAAACCATGGTGTTTAGGATAATGTTAAGTGTTAATTAATAACATTTTTGTGGGGAAAATTGGTAGATTCTTACTGCATGTCAACTACATCAAATGTGGATGGGCTGTTAATACAGTCTTGGTGGTGTGCAGAAGTTCTGTTGTCACAGGTGAGAGATCACATTGACACAGGGATATCCCCGCTCTCCTTACTTCCTCTATGCGTCGTGGCTTATATTCCCCTCTCCTGATGAGCCTCACCTGACCCAGATCGACAAGCTGTTTGAGGTGAGAGAGTGATGGTAATCTCCATGGCGAATGAAACCACACTGGCAGGTCTGCCACATTGCCTCATTTGGACCATACCAGTGTGGCTGAAGGGCACCCTGATGATGGGTGGCAGATCTGGTGGTTTAAGGGGAAGGTGATGAGTAGAGGTGCACTCAAAGAAGGCTACAGACCTGGCGCATCTTTGCTTCCAGTTCTGGCCGGTAGTATTTCTCCTGGACCCACTGCCCCTCTCTCTCTCTCTTGCCTCTTGGGCTTCAGTTGCCTCCCTCAGCTCCAGCGCCTTAAGTTCTGTCCAGCTGGCGGTGCTGCGGAGCATAAACAGATAAAGTCATCGGTAAGGCAGTGCCTGCAGTAGGCAGTTGATCCCTACCCTCTTGGCGACCTGGATGGCGGAGGGTCTATCATGTAGCAGCCAGGCATGGGCATGATGTAGCAGGTCTGCCGCTTGCGTCCTGGCCGAACACCGCTCATCAAATGTCCACTGTTGGTACTCGGATGCTGCACACCGATGTTTGGCCTAAAAGAGGCCGGATCTCCCTCTTAAATGCAGAATAATCCTGATGAAGTTGGGGCTGGAGGGAGTGATAAGCTGGCTGGCCCTCCCCTGTCATGTAGGGGGTGAGTAGCTGGATTCATCCCACACCACTTTGTCTGCTAGCACCTCAAAGCTGCGCAGGTACGCCTCAACATTATCAAGGTCACCGAGTTTGGGTAGAAAATGGTATGGGGTTAAGGACTCGGGGGTGGGGCATCTGGGAGTGAATAAACAGCCTGCCCTGCCCTCTCAAGTTCCGCTAACTGTCCCCAATTGACATGCTCATTGAGGTGAGGGAGTCTTCTTTATGGTGATGCTGAAACCACACTCACAGGTCTGCCACACAGTACATCCAAAGCTAAAGCAGGACCTCAATATTCTGCACACATATATGGTTAAATCACCTACAATCATGTACTTTGAAAGTAAATGACATACCTCTGGATTGACGTTTGTCATTTTTTTCAGAGATTTTGGAAATGCATCTGCTTGTCGCTGGTTGAACGTTTTGAAACACTCAGCTTTTTTTTTTTAATCCACCACACTGGCAAAAAAGTCCAGTATTCATTTCAACTTTTTTTTTCTAGTCAAAGCAGTACACAAATGGTTCGGGGCAAGTTTTTAATTTGAGCTAGGTCTCTCTCAGCAGGCCACCTCGTTCCATATCTTGTCAGCTAGTTTAGTGAGTATGTGGGCAGCAGTGATAAAGATGGCACACAGAGGGAAGTCTGTTTCAAACAGAGATGGCTGTTCCCACACTTGCCTGCTGCTAGAGGCAGAGCCACCCTGTTGTGTTTGTATTAATAGCTGCAGACAAGTGAGGAAGACCAAAGTCGAGGGTGACCTGAATGGATTTGGGGTTATTGAAAAGGAAGTGCATTGTTGTGGTATGCTCAGTGAATTGTGCTGAAGTGGCTGATTAATCCTGGTCTAAATAGATAAAGTAGGCATTCTTTCATAAAGGCCTGATGAACAAAACTTGTGTATGTTTGTGTAGTAATGTTGAGCAATTCTGCAATTGTTTCTAGAAATGGGACATCCACTATTGTTACATCTGTGTTTGGTGGCGTTCTACAGAATGAGGTGTATTGCTTGATATGCGGCACGGAGTCTCGGAAATTTGATCCATTCTTAGGTAAGCATAATTTCACAAAAACTTGACTTTTGTAACTATTGTTGGAAAAGTTCACCTGTCTTATTCTCCTTCAGATCTTTCACTCGACATTCCCAATCAGTTCAGAATCAAAACCACAAAGGACCAAGAACCGGGGCCAACGTGCACTTTGAGTGGTAAAGGATTATCTGAAACGAAGTTGCTGCAGTTTGGTTAATTTTGGGCAGTGTATTTAGTTTTTCTGTTGGTTACAGATTGTCTTCGTAGTTTCACAGACCTTGAGGAGCTCGATGAAACAGAGCTATACATGTGTCATAAGTGTAAAAAGCGACAGAAGTCCACCAAGAAATTCTGGATCCAGAAACTGCCCAAGGTAACCAAATATTTAAATATTTCGGTAATATGTTGTCCATATTTTTTCAGCTATATGATGTCATATCCCTTTCAGGTGCTTTGTCTACATTTGAAGAGGTTCCACTGGACAGCATTTCTGAGGAATAAGGTTGACACCTATGTAGAGTTTCCCATGTGTGGCCTTGACATGAAAAGCTACTTGTTAGAGGTGAGAGCATTCAGTTTTGTTACACATTGTTTTGTTTTTTTTGTTATTTGTTTCTAATATTTAAATGAACATTACAAGAAAACAAATCATGCCAATATACTGTTATTTATTATTATATGTATAAAAGGATATTAATGAATAAAGTAATATTTATTTACATTGAAAATGCATGTTTTTCTTCAAAACACAGTAGACAAAATGATTGGCATCTCTAAAATTCTAATGAATAAAATATATCTGTGTAATACTTTTCTTTAAGTTTACATTTTTAGCACACTTGAGTGAGTACAAGCACAAAAGAATCCAGGCATTACCTTGTCACAAGAGCACAGAGATAGAATTACAACTTCTGTATGAGCCCAGTTAAGAGTATTGAGTACTTTTCTGATATAAATCAAAAGATTCAAAGAAAACAGATTTAAAATATCAAGTATTTAAAATTCCCATTTCCACTAATACAATACAACATTACTTGCAATGAAGTTGAAATAAATTAGCCTGTTATCCCTGTACTTTTGTGTTATTTAATTGTTTGTAACTAACTGAAAAAAAGTGTATAAATTAAATCTCTCGATTAAGCGCAATGCTTCAAAGGATTAATAAACATACTATATATATATATATATATATATATATATATATATATATATATATATATATATATATATATTCATTCATTCATTTTCTTGTTGGCTTAGTCCCTTTATTAATCCGTGGTCGCCACAGCGGAATGAACCGCCAACTTATCCAGCAAGTTTTTACGCAGCGGATGCCCTTCCAGCCGCAACCCATCTCTGGCAAAAAAAAATAAATAAAAAAATGTGTGTGTAAAAATGCTTTTGTATAAATGTGTGTAATACAATACACACGCCTGTGACAATATAATAAATACAATTTCACAATGTAATTACAGCCTGAAAACAGCTTGCCTGAGAGATGTCTGTATGATCTTGCTGCTGTTGTGGTGCATCATGGGTCTGGGTAAGCAAAGGCCTATCAATGTACAACTCATTAATCAGCAACAAGTTCTGTTTCTTTGTTATCCAGAAGGGGGGGGGGGATGTTATATCAGTAAATATGGTGATCTTTTCATGAGATTTCCTTTTTTACCCCATCATATCTTTTCACAATCTGTACAGATAACCAGATCAAATATAATATTCTTCATCGCCATCTTTTTGCACAGAATCGGCTCAGGACATTACACAGCATATGGGCGCCACGAGGGCCAATGGTACCATTTCAATGACAGCACGGTCACTCTGGTCAGTGAGGAGGCTGTGCTGAAAGCCAAGGCTTACATTCTCTTTTATACTGAACACAGTGATCGGGAGAGTCAGTCCAAGCTTTAAGACTTTTTTTCAGATCAGCTCAGTCAGTTGTTGTCAGTTGTTGGATCTTCGTATGTATCATCTGTCTAATGTTTTATGCTATCCAGTTATGATTTCTACGTTACAAAACCTCAGTAAAAACCGAATTGCTGCTTATATTTTAACTTGATGACTTTTTCATTAAACAGACACAATTTTTTTTTTTCACATAATGCCACCAGTTTAAAAAATTGTGTAAAAAGATTCCAAAAGCTATTCCTCAAGATACTGTTTTTTTTGTGATGAAAAAAGACTTAAATTGACTTTGAATATAAAATGTCTTAGTTGATTTTTAAAAAATATTATTCCATCAGCTAAAAAAATGCTGTCAAATTTCTATCAGACACTGATGTCTCCTTATGCCAACATACTGCTTGCTGCTCCTGAAAAATGTATTTCTGTTCAGCTCAGAAATTCGTTATTGTCCTCTAAGAGTGCTGATGATCAAGTTTGATGTGGAGGTCTTTCTGAACCAAAACTTGAAAATTTTCATTTTACTTGACAAACAAGTAGTTATTGGTATCGCAAAGCAGTAGTTGACTCAGTCACAGCTTTCACATCTATATTGTAAAAATCACTTCTGAGAATGGTCCAGTAGCTCACATGTTTCTTGAAAATGTTTGACCAACTGTACAGTTTGTATTCTTTTAGAATTAAAGGGATGCACACTGTGTAAAAGTTGATCTGCAGTAGTTGACTGATTTTACTTTCACTTATAAAGTATACAATATATTATGTATTTACTGGTCCATGTTGCAGCTTAAAATCAACTCACTTTGACAGAAGCTATTTTATTTAAGTGTAAAATTACTCATTTAAGTAATACATTTAAATGTTTTGAATGTTCTTTTTATCTAGATTCTAGGTTCTAGAATTCTAGATTATTAGGTCAGAATTGTATAAAATTTTGTTGGGTGTTTTTGTAAGACCTAGTTAAACTGAAATGCAGTGATTCATTCATCATCAGCATTCCAGCAATTTTGTATACCTTACAAACGTGATTTTCTTTCTAGAGGTTGTGTTAAACAAGCCTATCAGGTAATAACTTTCCAAAGAGAGGAAGTTCTTGCCATCTATTTGTGTGTGTGTGACCATGCATCAGATGGTCCGTGGGTGTGGAGTCTGACACTAATTGTGCCTAACTTGCATATCAGTTATTGCAAATAACGAAAAACATGATACATTACCTTTAAGCTTGATATCTTTAAAGCAAGTATATTATATAACTTGATAAAATTAATTTGATACAATGACTTGAGCAGGCAGTTTCATGTCTTGTCAGTTGTTATTGGTTCACAACTAATAATTAATAGATCATAAAATTCAATGCAGCAAAAACAAATATTCCCTTCTAATAATGGGTCATTTTTTAGGCAGAATGTTTAAAAAATATTTAGTTTTTTATCTAACATTTAAGCTAGGAACACATTAACTAATTATGCCTGTGAAAACGCATACACGAGAGCTGAATGTTTTTTAATCCATTTATCCATTCACTCATTCACTCATTTTCTTTTAGGCTAAGTCCCTTTATTTTTCCGGGGTCGCCACAGTGGAATGAACTGCCAACTTATCCAGCATGTTTTTACGCAGCGGATTATGCAACAATAAGGCAACAGATGAGATGTTTAATTTGTTTAATCAGGTTTGTTAAAAGTGTCATTTAATGTTTTCTCAGTCATACATTTGTTATAACAATGGAAATATTCGAAACAAATATTTATAAACAAAGCATACACTAATACACAAGCTCCCATGGGTAGAGCAAACACTGTTGCTCCCCACATGCCATGTGCAAGCCAGGTAGCACTCTTGTCAGGAAGAGCAGTGAATAGGAACAGCTGCTAGACTAGCTCACAGTTGTCTGTGTGAAACAGTCATGCTTTAGAAAGGACAACAAAGTTCATACTCTCTCTCTGCTGTTAGGCCACAGCTGCCAATGAGATCACGTTGCTTGTGCAACTGCATCAGTCGCCGGATGTCATGACTCACTGAGTGTGGCTGCAATTGCACTTAGGAAAAAATATGTACGCTGAGTCACCTACTGAGTTTCCTTACTAACCAGACAACACCATGATGGCCTAACCAATTGTGTTTGGGGCATTGCTCTTTGGCAGAACACTTTCTCTGTAAATAAAGTCTTGCTGCCATTTTTAGCAGTCAAATAAACTTTTGTAGTCATCTCAACTTACATCAATTAAACTGACTGTGAAAATATTGCTGCTTGCTTCATCTATTGTATTGTGACAAATGTAATCAGTAAGGTAGGTAAGATGAACCCCAACTTCCAGTCATTTGAGTATTAGCAGGTTTTATCCAGTTAGGGCCATAGTCTTGTGGACTGCTTTCTGAGAAATTGCATAGTTGCATTCCAATTAATATGACATTAATATTTGTCCTCTTATATTTGTTCTTAACAATAATAAGTAAAAAAAACTATAAATATAAGTTTTATATACATCTCAAGAAACCCCATAGATTTTTTAATCCTCTTGTTAATGCTTTCATCTACTTTACGACTTACTGTAATAAAACTATCATTTAATTGTCTCCAACCTAAGAGTTGGTTGAAAGTGCGTGTGACATGTGAATGCTCATGTGTTTAAATGCATTTGATCAGCAATCAACCTCTGTTTAAGTATTTATTTTCAGGTATTCAATTAAAAACTCTTAAAGGGACAAAAAAAAAACTAATCACTGCTTACCCTCAAATAGGTTCAAACTTTTATGATTTTATTTGTTCACAATGCAAATTTATGTTTGATTAAATCACTATTTTTGTTCAGAGGAACCCATAGGTGAGAGGAAGTGCATCTGAGATCAAATTGTTACCTGGCAGAAATGGCAAATTCATTTTTTTAACACTCGATTGTGTTATTTTTTGACCACTTTTGATTCGAATCAACCAAGACCCAAGCAAAAACAGGTGTGAATGGGGCCGCCTCAGTATGGGTGCTGAGTAAATCCCCTTGCAAGTGATACACAGAAACTGCCACACTCTCATACTGCCTCCTGTCAAGGCGTTGGAGACAGATGGACCAGAAGAGTCCATGTGCCTCACACATTTCCATTTTTGACCGTGCTTGTAGCAGTACTCCCAAAATAGCCCTCATTCCTTGCAACCTTATATGTTCAAGGCCTAAGCAAAGACTACAGGGGAGAGAATTGCAAATCCAGGTCACACAAGACACAGTGTTGTCTCTGTTGCTTTGTGGTTATTAGCAGGCCTGTAAGTGTGCTTGCTATGCATCTCATAGAACTAGATCAAGAGTGCTTGCTACACCTTTTTTCATACCTAGACAAGGATAGTCGGCGCAGCCTATCCTTAACGTGTGTACGACTAAGACAGGTCTTCCTAGACCCTCAACTGTGGACACTACTTCACTTTTGGTCTCCATGCGAGCTGAGGAGAGACAACTTTGTTGTGGGATCTTCGCTAAGATACCTCGCTGTATGCTGGCACTCAAGCAGGGTCAAAGTGTGCAACATTGAGCACTGGATGAAAACTACATTCCAAAAGGATCTCTGTAGCAAGCATGAGAGCTTTGTCAGTGACTTCCTGGAGCATGTTTGCAACATGTGAGTGTTTCCTTTTTTCTTTGTTTCAACCTACATTTTACTGTTTAGCTTACTCCTGAACACAGATGTGCTCCTCTGATAGATTTTAAAAAATTAAGTAACCTAAATGAATCTTACATCTACAATCTATTATTAAAGGAAATACCTCCAAAATTAGTAAACTGTGAAAGAACGTATACATTTTTTTTATCCACCCCAAATAACAGTATCCAATTTGTATCCAAATCATTTAACACTATATTCTTTACATAAAAGTTGTCCATAAACATGCAATATATTTGTAACCAAACAGTCCTATATTTTGCTGTTACAACTTGTGAAGAGGTGTTGACCTTTAAATCAGGATATGTTTCATGTCTGATTATATCATGTTTGATATAAACAAATTCAACGGATATTTGAAAGCTAAGTGAAGGGAAAAAATTTGTCAGAAAATTATAACAACCCCTGACAAAAAAGATAGATTCACTCCACTTAGATCAAATACTCTCAGTTTCTTTACTTCAAATCAAATAAACAAATCACAGAAAAGCCACATATTTTTTTTTTAGTTTATTTGTTTAATAACACTGATACATAACTCGAAACATTTTTTTTATTAACAGCAATTAGTTTTGAAAGTTGATGAAAAAAAGATAAAAAAAGAAAGAATTCATTAACACAACTAGCTCTTTGTTACTCTTCTGGTCTTTATGACTGCCTGGATTGTTTTGTTTTTGATGGACTTAACTAATGAAAATCTTTATTTTGCATCAAGTTGCTTACAGCTTTTTTAATCATTGCAGGACAAATCAACTTTGCAAAAACAATCCTTAATCTTAACAACCTTAATCTGGATATTTTGCTGACCATGCGATTGTGTTGATATGCCTTTTCTAAAGAACAGATGTAACAATCATTTCTCTATGGATTGAAAAAATGACATAATTATTAGATTACCAAGTGCAAAAACTCAACAAGGATTTTAAGCATTATCTTTAAACTGCGGACTAGTCATAAAACATGTGCCAGTATTTGGTTTAAAATGCGAATTGCAAAATGATTTACCTAAATTTTGAATGATAAAAGACATTTTACTATCTATTCATTATTGAAGTTTAAGTTCTTTTGTTTGAGTTATATAACAGAAAACCAGAGTGTTCAGTTTTTTTACAACAACAAAGTAAATATTTTGTATGATTTCTATGATTTTATGAGTGGAAGGCAAAAATATAAATTAATATATTTATATATACAATTATTCATTAATTTTCTTGTTGGCGTAGTCCCTTTATTAATCCGGGGTCACACAGCGAAATGAACCGCCAACTTATCCAGCAGATTTTTGCAGAGCAGATGCCCTTCCAGCTGCAACTAATCTCTGGGAAACACACACACACACACACACACACACACACACACACACACACACACACACACACACACACACACACACACACTATGGACAATTTAGCCTACCCAATTCACCTGTACCGCATGTCTTTGGACTGAAGGGGAAACCAGAGCACCCGGAGGAAAACCACGCGAACGCAGGGAGAACATGCAAACTCCTCACAGAAACGGCATATGAGCCAAGGTTCGAACCAGCAACTTTCTTGCTGTGAGGCGACAGCACTACCTACTGCGCCACTACGTCGCCCCCATATATATATATATATATATATATATATATATATATATATATATATATTTTTTTTTTTTTTTTTTTTTTTTTTTTGAAGTCAGAATTATTATTAGCCCCCCTGTTTATTTTTTCCTCGAGTTTCTGTTTTAACAGAGAGAAGATTTTTTTCAACAAATTTCTAAACAATAGTTTTAATAACTCATCACTAATAACTGTTTTTTTTTATCTTTGAGTATACAGCCTAACAAAACTAAAATTAAGGTCAGCATGAAATGGATTTACTTCGAAGGGAAATTGCTATTAGCTAATATAATTGAAAAAACATCTTGTTTTTGGACAACTGTGCCAGTAGAAAAGAGCTGCTGTTTTTGTGTGTGTGTGTGTGTGTGTGTGTGTGTGTGTGTGTGTGTGTGTGTGTGTGTGTGTGTGTATACACACACACATATGAAAAATTCTAATTAACTATCAAAATATAATTTGAGGCTTGCAGTCCTAATAAAGAACTAATTTTGAGGAATGAACTTTCTTACCACACCCACCATTCTCTCACATTTGCAAGGTTCTTATATAAAATGAGGGGTGACAGGGAGGCTAAGTTATTAGCACAGTTGCCTTACAGAAAGGAGATGGGTGATTTGAGTCCAGGCTGAACCAGCAGACTTTTCTGTGTGGAGTTTGCATGTTTTCCCTTTGCTTTGGGTGCTCTGGTTTTCCCCACAGTCCAAAGACATGCGGTATAGCTAAATTAGGTATACTAAATTTGACAGTGTGTTAACGGAAGAGTATGTGGGTGTTTCCTTGCACTGGGGTTGTTCTCTCAGGGCTGGGTAGCAGCAGGAAGAGGATCTAGTGTGTGATACGATTTTGCAGGTTCATTCTGCTGTGGTGACCCCACATAAAGCTAGAAATAAGCCAAAGGAAAGTTGGTGTAATAAAGGTTGTGGACATTTACTCTTTTCCACAGAGTATATGCAGAGAAAACTCAAGCTTTTTGTTTCATGTACATAATGAGATGGTATTATTATTCTGTCCTAACCAATTGTTGCTTATTCAAAAGTATAACAGATAGCATACTCCATAAGAACAGCAGAAAGCAGATTGGGTAAATTTAGTGACTTAATTGTCAATTGTTCTTATCAATATCTTACTTTTTGTAAAACTACAACAAAGAGGGGAAAAAGTATGTATATATTCGCATTTACTTTAACAAGTTCAATTCAACTAGCTAGACATGAACACCCAGAACTAACAAACTACTGAATCTGCACTTTACTTCAATGTGCTTCTAGACATTGGACAGAGTTTTTAAACACCAATATTTCTTTCGGCTAGCATAAGAGCCACTTTCTCCAGTTAATTACTTACAAGTGCTTATCTTCGACACAGCAGTTGCAGATATGTGTCTCATTGCCCAGTAGTGAGCACTTGATTTCACATGTGTAAACAAATTTAAGTAATGCAGCAAACCACTGATTTGTCAAACTGTCTTGTTCCTTTTGTTTTGTTTTGTAGTATTAATAAACACATGTTTATAGTGAATGTATAGAATGTTTTCAAGATATGTAGTTGAGGAAAAGTTGCCAGAAAAATGCAACTTAAACTAAAATAACTTGCCTAATTATCCTAACCTGCCTAGTTAACCTAATTAACATAGTTGAGCCTTTAAATAATAATTCTAAATAAATACTAACTCTAATAATTCTGACTTCAACTGTATGCTTGCAAAAAAAAGTATTATTACTTTGTTGACATGAGGTCTGTGAAGTAACGGCACAGCTGAATTAACCTCTGGGATATTTAGGAGAGAACTATACTGCCTTTTCAGACAGCCTATAATTATGGTAGACTCTGCAGATTCTTCCACAGCCATTTTGCACTCACAAGAAAAAGAAAGTAATTGGTAAAATACATAAAACAAATAGGATATTATCTTAAAACAATAAAAAAATACTTAATTGGATCTTTAAATCATCCTCAGTTTAGAACAAAAATTTACAGCTAAACTTACTGATCACTCAAACTATGCTGTGGCTTTACTATATAAGGTGTTTTGTATCTAAATAATCTTTAAATAGAGAGCATGCAAAGTTCTATAAAGTGGTTCCCATATGATCATATCATGGTAGCAGGTTTGAATAAAACTTGTCCATCATTCAATTAACTTTGAAACAGACAACATTCCAACAGACAACTAGTAAAACATTTTAAAGGGTACATACAGTAGTTTACCCCTTTTTTATGATTTACTATTTATATGATTCTTCTGAGTGTGCCAGTTTAGGTTCAGTTCAACAGACAGTTCAGATGTTTTTATTATAATGTGTTCAAATGTGTCATGTTTTGGTCATGTACACAGCTCGCTTTTTTAGTTGCTTGTTGCTTCACATGAAAATTAGTTTCGGCTTCCCGCTCAACGTAATAAGGTGGCAGAGCCAAAAGCTTTCACGCTGAGCTTGTACACAGAGAATAATAACCACACACACGGAATAAACTTTGACTGAGGCACTGGATGTGCCGCTCGAAGCCTTGACACGGCAGAAACATGAAGTGTCCTGAATGGTCGCGCCACGCATTCCAGAACTCCAAACACAGGCCTCCACCAGGGCAAACACAACGGCACCTAGCCGCCAACCCGAAGCCCCGCCGCGTGCACCTCGACAGACACCCACGCCTAAAACTCCGAAATGCACGGCACCGTGCCACGCAGAGAGGCGCTTCTGCAGGCAAGTTTGTTATTTTATTTCCAATGGAGAGACGCGCACATAAGGCAACGCGCTTGAACTTTTTCAGCTGCACCTAACACTCACAGGGAGCTTCTGTGTTAGCGAGAAATGCAAATGGCTGAAGTTTAAGGTAGACGCAATGAAAAGTACACATGTCTGCAAACCTACCAAAAGGTACAAACAATAATTCCGATTAGAGCGATAATGTGGAGAATATTGATCTTGTGTTGAGTCCAATGAGCCTTACATCTAAAAATAGAGCAAGGGTGTTCCTTTAGTGATATCGCTTTGACTCACACTTTGAAAACGTGAAACAAGAAACTGAGGATATGATCATGATGCGCAGCTGTCAATCAATATTGGTGGACGGGGGGTCTGCACTTCTATGTCAAGTTGCGGTTGATTTGAAAACAGCTCCAGTTGGTCCAACGTTTTTGTTGTTAAATTGAAAAAAAAGGACTGTGTGTGTTTATATCAACCCAATATGACGGTCTATTTACTATATTTACACACGTCTGTCCAAACAGCTTGAAAAGTAGATTTTTCACCATAGGTGCCCTTTAAACATGTTTTCTCTATATTGTAACAACTTGGAAAAATATAGGAACTGTCATCCAAATTTCCCAGTTTAGCTCTTTATAGTATATAGTATAGTATATATTAATCTAAACAGTTTAAATGAATATTATGGAAATACGTGAACAACCAAAACTATATTGTAACAATGACATATAAGGCGATGCAGTGGCGCAGTAGGTAGTGCTGTTGCCTCACAGCAGGAATGTTGCTGGGTTGCTGGTTTGAACCTCAGCTTGGCTCAGTTGGGGTTTCTGTGTGGAGTTTGCATGTTCTCCCTGCATTCACGTGGGTTTCCTCTGGGTGCTCCGGTTTCCCCCACAGTCCAAAGAAGACATGTGGTACAGGTGAACTGGGTAGGCCAAATTGTCCGTAGTGTATGAGTGTGTTGATGACTGAGTGTGTAAATGTTTCCCAGAGATGGGTTGCGGCTGGAAGGGCATCCGCTGCGCAAAAACGTGCTGGATAAGTTGGCGACAAGAAAATGAATGAATGAATGAATGAATGAATGAATGAATGAATGAATGAATGACAAACACACAAAGTTTACTGAGCTTAATCTTTAACAGAGTCTGGCAGTATGGGCTGAAATCATTTAGCTCACTTTTGTACCACACCTGTCTCAAATATACAGTCCATTGTATATTTGTAATTACTAGTTATTATTAATTGTTTGTAGTTCCCATTGAGCTAACTTGTTATATAGAGAATAATATTTTAAATTCAACTGAGAAATGTTGTTGGTGCTTGTTTTTGTGGATTGAAATCCTCATTAGCATAGTGATGATTGTTCCTTCCCCAGAGAAAAGTTCAGCAAGACATGAGGGAAACCTCCTTTGAGAACCCTTCCTCAAAATTTGCATTGCCAGGTGGAGCCTACAATCAGTTCTTTGTTATAGTCGAATGAACGGTGATCAGTAAGAAAGAGAGAAAGAGTGTATGTGTGTGCATGTGTGCATTTGGTTTTAAATTCCAGTAGGGACACCAAGCTACTCTATGGAGGAAACAGTCTCAGATGGTCTCAAGTTCAAGTGGAAATTTACTTTCAGTTTTCATATAAACAATATCCCATCACTATGCATATCCAGTAGTCTTAAAAAATATGATTTGATGATGTGATTTGATATTAATGTGTTATTGATATTGCATCTGAAGGGGATATATTCATGAGGAAAATATTAAATAGGCTTTTCTTCCCCACACCCAGACTCATTCTCATAGCTAAAGTATACTTTGCCTCTGAATAAACTTGTAAATTTGTTATAAATAAATAGTTGCCTGTTCGATAAAATGTATGTTCTTGAGGGAAAAAAAGGAGACAAAACTCCTGCACGAGATAAGTGGAGCCACAAGAGGAAGACATACTTATGTAACCGGTGATTATGCGGCACATATATCTGGCATGTTTACTTCATCTGGACAGGTTTGAAAGCTCCTCCTGCTCAAACACAATGGCTGAAAACTGCTCCAGCAGAGACTATTTAGATCCCAGAGATTTTGAGTTTGCAAGCTTCCCTCATCCTTTCTCTGCTGTTGATTCCTTTATCAGTTCGTCTGTGCCACCAATGACCATCTGCAGTGTTAATAAAAGCAATGGCACGTGTAGTGTGAGATCCGCCCCATGGCCAGGGTTATTGGGACAGTGCTCATAGCACTTAGAGGCGGCTGGAATGTGCTGGTCTCACATGTGGTTAAATGGTAAGATTATGTAAGAGTTTATGTAATCTGCATCAGTAAACGTGAATGACATCTCAAAGCTAAGCCATTAGCTCGCTTTGTAAGTGTATGTGAGAGTGCTGACCCTGTGCGAGTCCACCAGCAGGCTGCAGCAGAGGAGAAATCCTAGTACAGAAGGTTGCTGTTGCCCAGCTCACTGGTGTGCGAATGGGAAACAACTTAGCTTTCAGCTGGAGCTATTTATTATAACATCAGCTGTTTATGTTGCAAAAAAGAAAAAAAAAATTGAAAGGGAGGCTAATAATTTTGACTTCAACTGTGTGTGTGTTTGTGATGTGATGTGTGTGTGTGTGTAATGTTTTTCAATTAAATTAGCTAATAACAATTTCCCTTCGAACTAAATCTATTTCATGCTGACCTTAATTTTAGTTTTGTTAGGCTTTATACTTACAATTGTAATTACTGCTGACTGTACAGTAGAACTATTTTCTTTAATACCGTATTAAGTTGAGATATATTTATGATTTATAAATATATTGAGATATATTTATGAAATAACAATTTCTGATTTTCCTCAAAAAATGACATGGCAGGATGGGTTCAACTAATGGTGTGACTTTTTGGTTGGAGCTTTCTAGATTTGACAAATGACATAACATGTATGAATCCTGCTACTGGTGCAATAAATAAAATCTTAGGCTAAATGAATAATTTTATTTGGTTCTTTCTCATAATGTGGCATAGGAGTTAAGATAAATAAATAAAAAAAATACTAGTCATTGTAGTAGTATCAGTAGTAGTGTTAGCAGTAGTTGTTGTGGTAATAGTAGTAGTAGTTGCTGTATTAGTTGTGGTAGTAGTAATTTGTGTACCTCTTTGAATACTACTACTACTACTACTACTACTACTACTACCACTACTACCACTACTACTACTACTACTACTACTACTACTACTAATAATAATAATAATAATAATAATACACCTTTAATAATAAACCTTTGACTTGATTTCTCTCCAGTACCGTGGGCTGACAGAGCATTACTGTACGTTGCAAAACGTCCCCAAAGACTCTTCTGCATTTTAACAATCTCAACAAATTAAACAAACAAAAAATGTTTAGAGCATAGTAGTAATTATATTTAGCATGTCAAAATTGTGCTTTTTGTTTTTTTAGGTGTCCAAATCTGATCTCACTGACTCTGTCTGGATGTGGGCACATAATGGACAACAATGTCATCAAAGTGCTACAAAGCTGCAGAAGGCTACGTAGCCTGAGTCTAGAAAACTGTGCTCGGATAACAGACTCTGTACTCAAGGCTGCGGTGGAGCATGGCCACAATCTCACAGAGGTGAGAGTGGACTTTTGCCGCAATGTGACCCAGGCAGGGTTGCAGGAGCTAAAAAACAAGAGACCAGAAGTACTTCTGAGTGCATTACACAGTGCGGATATGATTCCAGATTGCAAGCCTGAGGAGAAAACACATATCAAGAGAGCTCTGCAGAAGTTCTTGATCTTCTCTTGACTGACCGTTGTGACCTTATGTCAAGATGATATTTATTTTCTAATTCTATTATAAATGTTTTTTTTCACCAATTTTTTGATTCCTTATTTTATGACATGCTAATTTTATTGCTAACATTTTATATTTTATTAGTTCCCTCTTTTCACCCACCCTCTTTTGTACCTTCACTTTCATAGATTGTTTATTCGTTTGTTTGTCCATTTGACTGCATAAAATGACTCACTAGTAAAGTGCAAACTAAGTATTTGATTGTGCTAACAGGGCATTTACCCAATCCACATGTTTTAGTGAAATCTAGTGTTTCAATAATAAAACTTTAGCAAATTATGTGAATGGTTGTATTTTTTAAAAGCACAATATGTTTTGGTTACATAATCTAGGTTTGTTCTGGAACTGCTTATAGTCATTTATTCATAATGTGGGTTTTGGAATTCCTCCTAGAATATTTAGAAAATATTTATTAGAATATATATATATATATATATATATATATATATATATATATATATATATATATAAAATACTTGGAGGTTCATTCCACTGTGCCGACCCCTGATGAATTAGGGACTAAGCCGAAAGATATTGAGTAAGTGAAGTTGTCCAACGATATATTGTGAGAAAAGTCGTACAGCATGGTCTTTACTGCTTTATCGCTTTTATAAAACCAAATTTTATCAAGCTAATTATTTAATCATCTTGCAATGTAAAAGAATTGTAATACTGGGTTTGTAGGTCAACACAGCATTTTGGACACGCACACATCTCATGATGTTTAATGAGAAGAGATTTTTTCAAAGCATTCCCTGTTTTTTTCTTCTGAATAAACTTTTTTTTTTATTTTAATTTGGGTGGAATGAAAGTAGTTTTAATTTTGAAAACAAACTTTATGTTTTTAATATTACTAGCCCCCTTAAAAATTATTTTTTGATTGGCTGCAGAACAAACCACTCTTGTCAAATAACTTACCTAATAAACCATATTTGCCTAGTTGCCTAGTGCACTTTAAGCTGAATATTAGTTGAAAAATAGATATTATCTATTTATCTTTACCTATATAATCTACTTTCATCAAGGCAAGGACAAAAAAAATTAGTTATTAGAAATGTATTATTACAAATATTGTTTTTTTTTTTACAAACATTGTTAAAATCTCCTTTAAACAGCACTTGGAAAATTAAAAAAAAAAGACTTACAATTTTACAGAAGGGCTGCTAATCTTTTCTTCAGCTGTACATATACAGTAAGTGTGTGTGTCTGGGTGTGTGTGTCATGTTGGTATTGTCCTTTGACCTGTATTTTCTCCTCAGTGTATGCATAAGGTACTTTGGATATTGTTATCCTATTAGATAACATCTTTGGAAATAATAAATGGGTTGCAATATATATATATATTTTTTCGTCAAACTGCTAAATGTATTGTCATAAAAAGCAACAGTTAAGCTTTATAACTATATTAAAGTTTATTCCAATTTTTAAATAATGAAATGTTGATGTCATATGGCTGTTTAAAAAGAACAGTAATCTTTACAATTTAAACGCAAATCTTTTTAGAAGATGCAAGAAGAACAATTGTTTGCCTTAACAGACTTGTGACCTAAAACCTCCACAGAGTTATCTGAGGTCATGTTGGGACGACTTCCAGCATTTTGATTAGAAACATATTATGTAAGAGATGTGGAGTGTAGAAGTAGGTTGGCCAGTGTCTTTTTTCACGTGGTCATGATATTTTGCTTTGTAATTGCAGCAAAAGTAGATGTTCTAGACTCTCAGTATCCTTCATTTGCTCTTTTTCAACATTTGTTTTTTTATCTGATATTTTGACCTTGTTCAAATGCATTTTATCAAACAAATAAATACAGTTTCCTTAACCACCGAGGTATTATTAAAGCAGTATGAAGAACAACTGCACACTCTGCTTGTAAATAATCTATAGTAACAATAAAGATACATTTAGAAAAAAACAAATCACTTGTTATAAGACTTAACAGAAATCATTCATTTGTTCTCCACAGGATGTTCCTTGCAATGTACTGCAATTGGTGGTAGAAATAATATTGGGACCTTTTCCCTTATTTCTGTTATCTGACTATATGATATAATTTATATTCATATTTCCAACTCATGCTCTCTTATGAAGTAAATTTTGTGTTAATACAGATATGTGAATTTCTAAAACCTGCCAGAGAAAACAAGTAATGCCTTTCATTATAAAATCACTTTTAATTATGCACTGTATAAGTTATAACTGCAGAAAAAGTATTTTCATGTTACATGTTTGTGTGGTTATAAGGAATAAGACATAACATAAAGGGAGTTTGCTGGTGCTGGACGAAAATAAGAGAAACCACAACAAAGTGTACATTTAACAGTGAGTTGGGGAATTTAGAATGTAAATATTTTTAATTTTTGAATTATTAATCAAAATCGTCTCAGGTTACGTATATAACCATGGTTCCCCTTCTTTTGGGGAACTTCAGTGCTATAAAGTGGATTTGATTTGAAAATCCACGTATGGGTGGTTTCGGTTCAGAAGCCGCTTGTCTGAAAGAGTATTGAACGGGCCAATGAATGCAATGAATTGGCAGCGTAAGCTTGCACAGGTGTGCTTCATTGCCAACTATCCCAGCATATAAGCAAACCTGGAGCGAGCAAACGCCACCCTTTTCGCTTCAGAGACTTTCTGATCGAGTCGATGAGGGTTCCTCCTGCTGTGATCCAGCGATTCCGAGCGAACGAGAGCATTCTCCCGGTCCCTGGTCGAGCTGGGTTTCTCCCTTGCCTGGCGTTCTTTGGGTCCGGTCCTCCAGAGCGGTGCGTAAAAAGCTGCAACTTCTCAAAGAGAGCAACACAGTCGTGCAGCACATCCTTTTCAGGACGGCGCTCCGACTGTGCGTTTCTGGATGCGATGGTTTCCTATCCTTGGATGATGGGCACGGGCACTGCGTTGCATGCCTGGGGGGTCCAGCATGTTAATGCTCTGCTCGCGGGCAGTTCATGTCGTAATTGCGATCCCATGACTGTTGCGCAGTAAAGATCGCGGCTAGCCTTTGCAAAAGGTCAAACCACCCCAGTTGTCCCCTGCTCTGCAGCGGGCACTCAGGCAGATCTGAGAGTTTCAGCGAGAGATAAACCGTCGCCCACGGGGTCTTGAAGGGCACTTTTTTTCTGCTCGTGCTGCGTGTCCCTCCCCCCTTACCACTCTTGATGGTGGAACGGCCAGGGGGTATGTGGCGATTCCTCAGGTTGAGTGCGCGATGGCGGTTAATCCGCGCGGCGCCTCTTCTTGGCGGGGTCCGCCTCGTCTTCCATCCAAAGCCTGTAAGTTATCTGCCTCCCCCGGAGCTAGAGCTTACAAGGCTGCGGGCCAGGCTGCTTCCGCCTTGCATGCGATAGCCACCTACCAGCTCTACCAAGCGCAGGCGCTGGCCGAGCTGCACGAAGGTGCACGAAGCCGCCGACTATGCTCTTCGGACTACTAAGTCCGCTGCGTGTGTGTTGTGGAGGACTCTCACTCTAGTGATCCTGGAGCGCCACCCCCAGCTGATATGCGCGAAGTTGACAAAATCCGCTTTCTTAACATCCCCATATCCCAAGCTGGCATGTTCGGCGACACCGTCTGTGAATTCACCCAGGAATTCGAGGTGGTGAGAGAGCAGTCTGATAGGTGATGTCTTATCGGTGGTCCGTAAGCCCGCTCCGCCCGCGGTGCCATCCATACCTGCTCCTTGCCGAAGGCGCCCACCTACGAGAGCTGCACCGCCCCCGGACACGTTTCTGGCGAAGCGAGCGTGTCGAGCACCTCGGAAGCAGGCAGCCCCCCCTGGCCAGAACGCCGCTAAGTCCGGCAACGGACCGCAAAGCGTCCCTGGGACAGGTCATCTGGAGAAGAGGGAACTTGCTCTTTCCCCGCTGGAGGGCGGGGTCCCATTTCCAACGGCACTTTTTACTGCCATGAAAACATCATGAAAAAGCACTTTTCCACTTCCCCGGATGTGACAGCCTGAAATCTGCCAGTCTGGGACGCTATGCTTTCTAGCTTGCAGATTCGGTGCGTTTCGCCAGTAGCTCACGAGCGCTGGAAGAATGGTCTCCTTTTTCCCACCCCTCGAGCCTCCCCTCCGGAGCTCGGGTGCGGAGTGAGAGCAAATCTATCACCTCCAGCTCCTGCGTGGGACCCGCGCACTTCCCGGATCAGCACACCCACTTCGCGCTGCCCCACTGCTGGTACGTCAGCGATTGTAGCGATGAGTCCATTAGCGAGAGCTCTGCCTTCCTGGTTAGTGGGGGCCAGCTCTTCGTGGTGGCTTATACGCACAATCAGACTCGACTATGCGATTCAGTTCGCTAAACGGCCCCCAAGTCACGGGTGAGTATTTACCAGGGTCAGCCCCCTGTCCGCCCCTGTCTTGCGAGAGGAGATTGCTGTCCTCCTGGCGAAGGATGCAATTGAGCCGCTCCCTCCAGCCGAGATGGAGAGCGGGTTTTACAGCCCACACTTCATCGTGCCCAAAAGAGCGTAGGGTCACGGCCAATCCTAGATCTGCGTGTTTTGAATTGCTGTCTGCACAAGCTGCCGTTCAGAATGTTCACGCAGATGCGCATCCTCCGGTGCGTTCGTCCTCTGGGTTGGTCTGCAGCATTAGACCTGATGGACGCATATTTCCATGTCTCCACTCTTCCTCGCCACCGTTAGTTTCTGCGCTTTGCGTTTGAAGGTCAAGCTTGGCAATACAAAGCCCTGCAAAGGATCTCTTCTCTCGGGCTTGAGCTGGACTCGGTCACCATGGCAGCGCACCTCTCCGGAGAGCACGCTCAGCTGATGCTGTACTGTCTGAGAGAGCTTGACAGTAAAATAGTGGTCCCACTGAAACTATTTCAGAGGCTCCTGGGGCATATGGCATCCGCAGCCGCTGTCATGCCGCTCGGATTACTCCATATGAGACCACTCCAGCACTGGCTTCACGATCGAGTCCCCAGACACGCATGGCACGCGCGCGCACACTGAGTCACTGTTACTGCGCTGTGTCGCCGTGCCCTCAGCTCTTGGAACGACCCCTCGTTCCTACAGGCCGGAGTGCCTCTAGAACAGGCGTCCAGTCATGTTGTTGTTTCAACAGATGCTTCCAGCACGGTGTGCTGCGGGCATGCAGCTGCGGGCCTGTGGAAAGGAACCCAGTTGCATTGGCATATCAATCGCCTGGAGCTATTGGCAGTGTTCCTCGCTCTCCACCGTTTTTTTTTTTTCCGATGCTTAAGCAGCAGCACGTGCTGGTCAGGACGAACAGCACGGCGGCGGTGGCGTATATCAACCGCATGGGG